AGGATTTCTTGGCCTGATCGCAGAAAAAGAAAATACTTATGTTTCCTGAAATATATATATTTCAGTATTTTATTCAAATACCTGGTATTTGAATATTCTGGTAGTTTATATACCAGAGTATTAAAATATCAAGTATATTTTATTATTCACTAATTTATTCAAATACCAGGTATTTGAATAATATAGTGAATAATAAAATATATATCAAAATATATCGTTGAAATTCAGAATAAGAATAATGAACATGCAGAAAATGTAACATACTGCATTGTAAATGTGTGAACAAGATCGGAGATATATATATGAACAGAAATTTTCAACGCAGATGATATCGGATAATAATACATACAAGTTACATCTTTGAAAGTATTTTCTTGAAAATGCATAATTCTGCATTGCGATTAACCTTTCACCGGTTGGACTTTAAAAGCATAATCGATTTTTTTATTGTGCATTCTAGATAAATTTAAATTTGTAAAAATAAGTAAAATCCAACTTCTATGTCAATATTCATTGTTAAAGCTTTCACAAATATGTAAGAAGTTTTTTAGATTTTCATATACAGTCAGGAATATGAAAATCCGCACTGAAGTTCAACTATATATTGCAGACAAAGAGTGAAAATTTTATATTGTGACGGAGGGTTAATAATGCAGCCAAGAATTTTGTAAGAGAGTCTTGCATCAATCATTTCAGCGATGTTCTATTATTCACATCATACTTTGGATCGTCGTCGAATGTACCCGAGCGTAACCGTATGAACTCTAGTCCGCCTGCTAAAATTAACGTCCAAACTTAATCATCGGACCGCCGCTCGATGACAACTATTAACGTGACATTCTAGCGAGCCCCGATTCGAGATGTGCTCTAAAAGGGATACACGTTTTTCGCGTAGGGGCGGCAGGGCAACAAGCTTTCGTAGCGAGACATGCGTTTTAATTCCATCGAGTCGGCGTCCCGCGGGTAGATTAAAAATAGTGTCTCCGTCTCCCCGGATTTGCGTAGGGGTGTCATAGAAGCTGCCCTCGGACCTGAAGCTGGCTGCCAACGTATGCTGGGGCTACCCTCCACACGGACTGCAAGTCGCGGACCACCTCATTAGTGGACGACGAAAAAAAAAGTTCATTCTAACGAGACTACGTACCTAATGACGGGAACCACGCGCGAGCCCGCCCGCGCGAGCGGGTATATGTATGAGATGGTACACGTGGCGGGTCTCTATACGAGGACGTAGGTACACCTTGTGTACGACTTTCATTTTATATGCACAGTCTGCGCGACAAAAATTATAACGAACACATGACGAACGTATCGAAACGTAATGACATTAGGCGTCGCCATGTGCCGTGAATAACGATGTAAGGAACTTTACAGTACAAGAATTGATCAATCGAATTGACAATTATGTCTATGTGTGTTGAAACAATCGGCTTCTAATAAGAATAAAAGGTATTGAAGCTGAGATTTCGATTTTCTATAAAAATCAAAATATTTTTCGTACATTCCATCAGTTAGTTTTCACCATAAGTAATGCTTTTTATATGTTCGAAGAGCAGAGTGCAGAAAAGAGGACGGAATTTACGCATACGGATAATACGAATAATTAAGGGCGCGCTCTGTTGCTGTACAATTATTAAACGTACCGCACATAGCGCGACGGCAGGCCGAGCGAAGTCATTAACTACGAAGTGCGCGGACATGGCCCATCTAATACGCTCCACTGGTCCGGCTGGTGAAGATGCAAGAATCCGGCTGAATTACACGGCCGAGGTGCAAAATGAATTTTTACGGTGGTCTCGCGGGACCATCAGCGCTTATGTGAGTATATACCCGTGGCCGGGCTCGGACGTCTACTTCCCCCGGCTTCGTGCTAACGAAGTTTTATGAAGCGCGATAGCGCCATACCTACGCCGCGCCGCCGTGGACTTTGGCGCTCCTTAATTTGTGAATGCTGCTGCCGCGCGGTGTCGGCCGCGCGCCATGCCGCAAAAGAATGGTATGTCGGCCGACAACGTGATATATCTTCGGCCCTCTGCCCCGGACCTTCGGTCGGAGTATAGGTGCATACCGCGGATATACGGTAGCCTGCTTCTTTTCCCCTCGGCGCGGCGTAACTTTCTTCAGAACGATCCGCGCGTGAGAAAGCACGCGGTCCAAGTACCGCCAAGATCGACTGTGCTTTCCACAGTATAACTACATGGTAGTTTTCTTTGAAATCGTGACGCATCGAATGGATCGGTGGAAAAGTAGTCCGCGATTTAAAGTGCATTTAGAATTTTCATTTATTCCCTTCTCTCTCTCTCTCTCTCTCTCTCTCTCTCTTTCTTTTATTTTGATATCAATTGTTGGTTGACATACATATGTATTTAATTTCTGAACTAATTAGTCTTAATTAATGCGCGGCTGTAACCGCGTCGTAGCGCTAACGCGATTACAGACGAGGTACGAGATGACCATCAGCCATGACGGTTACAGTAGTCGGAGCTGCGCGATATAATGCTTGACAATGTCACTATATTGTTCACAGTTCGGTATAAGACAAACAGAGCTTCATAAAAGTTACTAAGCTAATTCTACGCGATATATAATTTTTTATTCAATTTAATGAAGTTTCGTCATACACTTTGCGTATAGAAATAAACCCCATCAGCAGGAAAGCTCTAAGAATCACTCTGATCCAAGATGTTTTCTTCGTAGCCAACAACGGAAGTTTCTTTCCAACTTTCATCGGTCCTCCTTCGTGGGACTCAATGTCTCCGTAACGACGTGTGCACGCCACATGTGCGTGAAACTACGTATAAGCTACAGCTATATAGTTGTCTTCTCGTGGATGCTGATTAAGCCAGTGTGGAGGACTG